GGTTTCCCGACTTGCTTTCATTTGTTTATCTTTCATCCCCATGATTAATTGTTAAAAGCTGGTGATGAATATAAACTCTGTACTTTCAGGAGGTCCCCATTTTCAGAGAAGTGAAAGCATCGATAGGAAGTCATACTTACGCTTATCAGCACTGCTCATGTCGTTCTCTTCCAACAATATTTGCATGTCGGGATCATCGATTATGGATGGGTCTTCTGCAGTGCAACTAAATTCTCAACATCCCCAGAACTCTAAAAAAGTTAAGCTAAAATCAATGACACAAGAACCAACGGCAGCAAGGGGAATTGAGTGCTACATACCCACGTTCCAAACTGGCCAAGTTTCCCTTCCCATTGGACCGATCATAGATGATGTTAATAGCATGAAAGACTTGCTGGACTTCTGCAGGAGAACAAAGTTGGGCCAATTGGTAGGCCTCCTCTTTTCCCATATATTTTTTAACTCTATGTTTTGCTGCTTTGCATGCATGCTTGATTGTGTTATTAGTAGCGTCCTCTGGCATTATTTGCTTGGCCAGCACTATCTTAGACAGCTTCTTAAGGCATGATTATACTACTGAATTGTGACGCTATTTTATCATCGTGTGGAAAGAAGCTTCAGTTTTGTAGCTAAATATGCTTCTTGAGTATTGTGCCTTTAGTTTTTATTGAGTTAACGTTTTAATTGTGACGCTATTTTATCTCTTGTTAAGTTAGAAGTTTAAATCCGATAGTTGGCCTCTTTTTGTCTCAGTTGCATTTTGGATATCTGAACTTGTTGTGCAGACTGTTTTCCTAATGATTTATCTTCTTGGTGAACTTGTGTTGATAATTGCAGAGAGCATGAAGTCTATCCTTGACATGCCTCTGCAGCCAAGCTCCAGATGCAAAAGATGCAGGAAATGGATCAATTAGCAAGTTCTCAGGGATTGCCTTGCCCACCGACACGAACACTCTCAATAAGCTACGGGTATTGCATCATGGACTGAATAACCAAAAGAACAACCACAATCAGATGGTGAGTCGTGGAACTATGAGCTATTGAGTTCCTTGTTTAATGCACTTAATTGGGCTTCTTTTTCTTTTTTTGTTCAATCCCTTCTCAGCTGGGATAATAAACATGGCTTCCTTTCTTTGAGAAATATGTATTGTTTAGACGTTCTTAATTATTATCCCTTATGTTACCCTTCTTGAATATGTCTTACTTTTTTGAACATGTCTTACTTAGTACAATTATCTTAATTAGTCTAGGTCTTTAAGATTAAATCACTAGAGGAGAGAAAGAGCGAGGAAAGTTTTACTGATCACAATCAATAAGTGGAGAATGACATCTCAGATTTTACTTTAATGATTTTAAGCATTGTTGCAGCAAGTCCCAACAAACATAAAAAGGGGTTAGTTAATCAGAACCTTGAACACTTCACTAGGGAGGGAGGGAAAGAGAAAGGAAAACTTAGGTGAAGAAATTTAATAGATAGAAAGTGACTTTGTTTATTACCTCTTGGCTGATTTCACTATATTGGTAAACAGATAAAGATCTTTCAAAAACCTTGAACACTTCACTGGACGACGGAGGGAGAGAGAGAAAGGAAAACTTAGATGAAGAAATTTAATAGATATAAAATGACTTTGTTTATTACCTCTTGGTTGAGTTCACTATATTGGTAAAAAGACAAAGATCTCTCATAAACCTTGAACACTTCACTGGACAGAGGGAAAAAGAGAGAGAAAGGAAAGCTTAGGTTAAGAAATTTAATAGATAGAAAGTGACTTTATTTATAACGTCTTGGCTGATTTCACTATATTGGTAAAAAGATAAAGATCTCTCAGAAACCTTAAACACTTCCTTAGACGATGGAGGGAGAGAGATAAAGGAAAGCTTAGGTGAAGAAATTTAATAGATAGAAAGTGACTTTATTTATTACTTCTTGGTTGATTTCACTATATTGGTAAAAAGATAAAGATCTCTTAGAAACCTTAAATACTTCACTAGACGACGGAGGGAGAGAGAGAGAAAGGAAATCTTCGGTGAAGAAATTTAATAGATAGAAAGTGACTTTGTTTATTAGCTCTTTGCTGATTTCACTATATTGGTAAAAAGATAAAGATCTCTCAGAAACCTTAAACACTTCACTAGACGGAGGGAGGGAGAGAGAAAGAAATGAAATCTTAGGTGAAGAAATTTAATAGATAAAAAGTGACTTTATTTATTACATCTTGGCTAATTTCACTATATTGGTAAAAAAATAAAAATCTCTCAGAAACCTTGAACACTTCACTGGATTGAGGGAGAGAGAGAAAGGAAAGCTTAGGTGAAGAAATTTAATAGATAGAAAGTGATTTTATTTATTACATCTTGGCTGATTTCACTATATTGGTAAAAATATAAAGATCTCTTAGAAACTTTGAACACTTCACTAAACGGAGGGAAAGAGAGAAAGGAAAACTTAGGTGAAGAAATTTAATAGATAGAAAGTGACTTTTTTATTACCTGTTGACTGATTTCACTATATTAGTAAAAATATAAAGATCTCTCAGAAATCTTGAACACTTCATTAGACGGAGGGGGAGAGAGAGAAAAAGAAATGAAATCTTATGTGATGAAATTTAATAGATAGAAAATGACTTTATTTATTACCTCTTGGTTGATTTCATTATCTTGGTAAAAAGATAAAGATTTCTCAGAAACTTTGAACACTTCACTTGACGGAGGGAGAGAGAGAAAGGAAAGCTTAGGTAAAGAAATTTAATAGATAGAAAGTGACTTTTTTTATTACCTTTTGACTTATTTCACTATATTGGTAAAATGATAAAGATCTCTCAGAAACCTTGAACATTTCACTAGACGGAGGGAGAGAGAGAGAGAAAGAAAGGAAATCTTATGTGAAGAAATTTAATAAATAGAAAATGACTTTGTTTATTAGCTCTTAGCTGATTTCACTATATTGGTAAAAAGAGAAAGATCTCTCAGAAACCTTGAACACTTCACTGGACGGAGGGAGAGGGAGAAAGAAAGAAAGTAAATTTTAGGTGAAGAAATTTAATAGATAGAAAATGATAGAAAATGACTTTGTTTATTACCTCTTGGCTGATTTCACTATCTTGGTAAAAAGATAAAGATCTCTCAAAAACCTTGAACACTTTACTGGACGAAGGGAGAGAGAAAGAGAAAGGAAAGCTTAGGTGAAAAAATTTAATAGATACAAAGTGACTTTGTTGATTACTTCTTGGCTGATTTCACTATATTGGTAAAAAGATAAAGATCTCTCAGAAACCTTGAACATTTCACTAGATGGAGGGAGAGAGAGAAAGAAATGAAATCTTAGGTGAATAAATTTAATAGATTGAAAGTGACTTTGTTTATTATCTCTTGGCTGATTCACTATATTGGTAAAAAAAATAAAGATTTCTTAGAAACCTTGAACACTTCACTAGACGAATGGAGAGAGAGAGAAAGAAAGGAAATCTTAGGTGAAGAAATTTAATAGATCGAAAATGACTTTGTTTATTACCTCTTAGCTGATTTCACTATATTGGTAAAAAGATAAAGATCTTTCAGAAACCTTGAACACTTCACTGGACGGAAGGAGAGAAAAATTTTATTTGAACTCATATAACCTTATTACACCCAACTTAAATTTTAAATGTTAATTGTCTTTTTTATCTTATTGCATAATTACTATTATTATTAAGTACAAGATGAAATTAATAATAAAACTAAAAGTTATCAATAAACCCATACTCAATAATCAAACTCTATCATCACTTAATCTTTATCATACGTTCATTTTGACTAATGGATGATGATTTTGAAGTTCTGAATCCTTCAACTAAGATATAAATCGATTTATCCACGTTTTTTTCATTTGATTTTAATTTTTTTTAGAGTTTAAAAGTATATTGCTTGCAAAGAAAGTCTTTGTTAGCCCGTTAATAAATTTCTTTATAGGACTCATATAACTCTTCCAAAAGGCATTGGGAATTCAATACTGCCACCAACCGAAACATAAAAATAATGAAGCTAAAACGCTAGTTGATAGCTGGGCTTATACATAACAAAACAAACAAGGTAAAAACAACTGAAGTGAAGAAATGTACTTTTTGAAGTTCTTGAAGGCAGCAGTGTCATCCATCAACCAATGCGAAAGGATTCATCTCCAAAAGTGAAGTCCAAATCTGGAACATATTTATAATTAGCAAAATTGTTCTTACTTCTAACAACTTGAAATACAACAAATACGGCTATGATAAAGTCCTTGAGTTCTGCTTTGATATATATTCAAGAATAATTTAAACCGATGAACATGAACTCAACAGATAGCATATGATTGATGCATTAAGCAAATATGGTTTTTGCGTGGCACTAAAATAGAAGAAGATTGGGACATTGATGATAACGATTATCATTCGTGGCACTAAAATAGAAGAAGATTGGGACATTGATGATAACGATTATCATTCGTCCTATACCGATGAGAATAATGTATATCATTGTGACTATATTTTCGACTCTAGCGAGAAAAAAGAGAAAAAGATCACCATCCTGCATGGGCACTTTCTTCCTAAGAAATATTGGAGTAAAAGGTTCACACACTTAAGAATCAGATATGAAAATAGTTTCAAAAACAAAGTTGTCTCCAACTGATTTTGGGTTTATTTTCTAAATGGGTGTAAAGATAAATTTATATATTAGATTGGGTTCGTGAGGGTAGTTTACGTAGATATTTGGGGTTTAAAGAGATATTGATAGTTTAATTGAAATTAATATGGGTGTAGTGAATTAGTTGAGTGTAGAAAAATGTTATATGAGTTTAAATAAAATTTCCCTTCGTCTTTTGTATGAATTTACCTGGTTTCGTCAAATTAGCGAGAGAAAAATGTGAACGTTAGTATTTCTCATACTCATCTCACCTCATATTTCTCATACTTAATCTTATACTCACATTTTGATTTGGATCAATTAAAAGATGTTAGATGTTCTTGTTTTCTAAAGCCAAAACTATGGCTTCGGTAGTTTGGCAGAATTTGCGTAAGCACCTTTTAGATTCCGTCTTTGAGAGATTGGAGTCGCCAGAAGATTATTTGCGTTTCAGCATTGTTTTTAAGTGGTTGTATTCAGTAGCAAAGCATAACTACTATGAACGCGCTAAGGTGACAACTCCAGTGCTCTTGATGATTCAGACTGCAAAAAGAGGCACATGGTCGTTGTGCGATGCCATGCAGAATAAGGTCCTTGATTTTCACGTACAGGTTCCGAACGTGCGATAATTCTGCGACTCTTCGAAGGGATGGTTGATATACGTGGACAAGGATTCTGTAGTAACCCTGGTTAATCCATTCTTTAGGGTTAATTAAAGGGACGAGAAAGAAAGAAAATTCCATCATTCGCCTTCCTCCACTCATCGGCGGTGTTCCACCATTGAAGAATTGGGATTCGTCTATCAGCTACTATTTTGCCTACAAGGCTATACTTTCAGCAGACCCTGTATTATGTGCAGACAATTACATTGTCGTGGTGATATGCGAGGTATACTGTCAATTGGCTTTTATTAGACCTGGTAAAGATACAACATGGACCTTTGTTGCCGATAGTCGGCATATAATTGAAGATGTTGTTCCAGTTGAAGATGAGTTTTACGGCGTTGATCAAAGCAGCCGCAATCTTGTGGCTTTTGATACTACTGCTCAGTACAAGTGCAATGTAATATTGGATCTAGGCTACACGGACGGAGCGCCAGCCAAGAAATACCTTGTGGATTTAAATGAGACAAGATTTTTAATGGTTGAAAGGTATGGGAATGTTATGGATGGGAGACGGATGACTTATCAATTCAGAATTTTTGAACTCAAGCATCACAAGTGTGAGCGGACTGAAATATACGACTTGGGTGATGTTGCTCTCTTCGTTGGTGATAACTCTTCGATAGCTTTGGCGGCTTCGAAATATTCAGGATGTCAGCCCAACTGCATATACTTCAACCATGATTACATGAGTCAAGACCTTTCCAACCCTTGAAATCACATGATTTTGGTGTGTATAACGTCAAGGATCAAAGCTTATCGCAACCTTACCCAGAAGATATTACGACCCTAATGCACATCACCAATCGACCTACAATTTGGATTGAGCGACCTTTTAAGCTCTGAAAGGGCTTTATCTAATTTGTTTCTCATGTTTGCCATATTATCTTCCTCCCGTCCACTGTATCTTAAGTCATGTTCTAGTCCTAAAAATGTCGCTGCATTTTTCTTTTCCTATTGTGGCTGTTGGCTCCGTCAATTTTAATGAGAAATGATATTCTTTTTTCTTTTTTCCTAATGAAATATGGTTATTCAATTTATGGAGAATCAACCAAAACGAGAAACGTAAAAATTTGTTCCAAAAATATTCTCAACTTGTGCTTCCGGTTTCAAATCTATTCAACATATACAATTTTGACGGAGGGTTCAAATTTTGCTTATACTATAACAAGTGATGTACTAGCTTGTTTTTCAAATAAAGATGAGTTCGTTACTATTACAGTATCAAAACATTTGTACCAACTTTTAGTACGAAAAAAAATCTAGTATCGTTGTCATATACTACCAAATATCTTTGGTTTAGTACGATTATCGTAGTATTATAGTTTGGCACAAAATCAATATGATATGGTATAATAATGGTACAGTACGGTAGAATGACAAAAAATTTCACACCTTCGAAACTCATAAAAAATTTCTCCTTATATCGGATTGGGCATATTCTATAACCAATGATTAGATAATAAGAACAAGTAAAGTTTGTTTGGCCGATATTAGGTGCGAGTCTCGACTTTGTTGGGCCTTTAAAAAAGGACACCGCACCTATACTGTTTGGTTTCATTATTTTTGCAATTACCATGATGTTGTGTAACGTTACTCAGTACTACGGTCTAGTAGTATTCATCTTCACTAGGAAGTAAGAAATCTTAGGTTTGAATATTGTGGATTGCGAATTCGATACCAAATTAGGCTTCCTACTATGTGGCTTAACCGAACTTCTCATTTCCTTAGTGTAAAAATATCAATGTATTAAAAAAATGATGTTGTGCAACAGAAACATCATCTTGAAACATCCTAAGATTTTTTGACACAAAAAAAAAAAAAATCCTAAGATTCTTCATCGCATGTATTTCTGTCCCCGGGGTTAAATTAGTCAAGCACAATTTTTAACGATTTTTTTTTTTTTTTTTTGGAAGAGCAATTTTTAACGAAATTAATCAGAACATAAGCCACACGAGGCCTTGTTCTATTGTGCGTGTCAGCCACACGTGGCAGAATCAGACGTTCTGTCTCTATCCGTTGAGAAATTTTTTATTATGATGGGAACACAGGTGGTACACCATATGTTTTTATGTAAGTTGTGAGAAATTTTATTTTTTAAGTTATTAAATTTTTAACACATATATCTCACAATTTATATAGCGATACGTGGTATATCATCCCGTGTGACGGTCACACTAAAAAATATCTAACATCCGTTAACCCAATATGGTAAAATCCCACACGACTAGAAACGGAAAGATCCACCCAATTCGATTCGCACACGTGTCCCCAATTCTTCAATTATCCTTTCGAATTGTCGCATTTGCCCTCGTTTCCGTTACCGAGAAGGACAAAGATCGTAGACAAACTCACGTACAACCGGGTGCACCGCATCGAAGCTCAACAGGCTAATCCAGGTAATATCCTCATTGCATCATATGCAACCTAGAAAACAACCAGTTGGGTTGCACCACGTGTCTTAATCCTCGGGTTGACATCGCCCGATCTCTCACCGACTACAATTCTCAACCGATCACGAAACACGTGTTCCTTGATTCACCGAGCGTAGCCGGTGATGTAGGGCAGGACACCGATGCAGCCGGTCACTACTCCTCTGCAATTCCCGCTAGGTATATAAACAGCGTCCCTCCGACTGCTTTCCTCTCTCTATCTCTCTCTAAAATTTCTCTGCAAATTTCGGGTTTTTGTTTCCAAATTAAGGCAGCGTTGCGGATTTTTACAGCTCCCGATTCCTGAGGTCCGTAGGTGCCGTGCATTTATCTAATTCGATTACTTGTTCAATTTTTTGGTTTGATTTTTGCTGCTAGTTCAGATTAATTAATTTGGTTAATTAAATTATGCTCTGATCGATCTCTGGACTGGAAAAAGCTCACTGATTTTTTGTTCTACTTAGTCTTCGAAATTTCGTTTTTGCTGCTCGATCTTCTGTTTTTCTGCTTAATTACGAGTTTTACTAGTTTAATTTTGTTCAAAATTTGAGCTGGAGCTGCTTTAAGTTCGATCTTTAGTCTGTAATTATCAGTTTAATTGATAAAGATTGAGCTAAATGTTTGATTGTTTCAATTGTGTTTTGGTAATTTTCGGTTCGGTTGAACTGGGTTGGGTTTAGATCATCTAGAAATTGCTGGGTTCGGGGCTGATAAGCTTATGTCATTGTTTCATGGGTAGCTTGGTTGGAAATTAGGGTTTTTGTGGGGCTCACTAAAAAATCAACATTTTGGAACCCCAGGGGGCTTTAGTTTGGGTTGGATTTCGTGTTTCTTGCTTGTTGTAAGTGTTTAATTTACTTATCTGGATGGTATTGGTTTGGAATTTAGTTTGGTTTATGTTTTTAGTTCTTGTTCTACTGCTGATAGTGTTGTTTCCTCTTGTTTATCTTAGATCCCATAAGAAATTGTTGAAAGGTCATACAGAAAATAAATATTGTGCACCTTTTTGGGTCGCATATTTATTGGATAACTGGTGAAATTAGTGACACAGTGAGGTGAGGGTTCTGAAATTGTATGTATTTGTATTGTTGACCCTGCCCGTATTGTATTTTTGAGATTTTTTTTTTTTTAAGAGGAGTTCCTTGTTTATTTTGTTTTTGTATCTATTGAGTGGGCTGAGCATATTAATTATTGTAAAAATATTGTCAGGCCTGGCTCTGGAGAGCTACTTAGACTCTGGCCACCAAAGTGCGGTGCCTCCTATGGTGCCTTCTCGTGTGGCTGGAGGATTAGCTCAGTCTTCACCAAGTTCTGGAATTTTCTTCCAAGGGGATGGGCAGTCTCAGCTTGCAGTTAACTCACACTTGAGCTCATCTTTTGGGAACTCTTCTAATTCCTTTCTTGGAACTGGGCGTTCAAATCTCAGACCGGTTTCTGGGGACATGAATAATGCAGTTTTGAGTGGTGTGGCGAACTCAGGTCCGAGTGTTGGCGCAAGTTCTTTGGTCACAGATGCAAACTCTGTATTTTCTGGAGGTCCCCATTTGCAAAGAAGTGCAAGCATCAATAACGAGTCATACATGCGCTTACCAGCATCGCCCATGTCATTCTCTTCCAACAATATTAGCATGTCAGGGTCATCAATTATGGATGGGTCTTCTGTAGTGCAACAGAATTCTCAGCATGACCAGAATTCTCAACAAATGCAGCAGAATCAGCAGCACCAAAACCAACGGCAGCAAGGGGCTTCAAGTGCTACTTCTTTACCAACGTCCCAAACTGGCCAGGTTTCCCTTCCCATGGGAGCGCGAGTACCTGGAACTTTTATTCAGGATCCAAACAATTTGTCCCATGTCCAGAAAAAACCCCGTCTGGATATCAAGCAGGAAGATATTCTGCAGCAGCAAGTGATACAACAGTTACTGCAAAGACAGGATCCAATGCAATTCCAAGGCCGGAATCCCCAGTTACAAGCCATACTTCACCAGCAGAGATTACGGCAACAGCAACAGCAACAGATTTTGCAGTCAATGCCTCAACTGCAGAGAGCCCAGTTGCAGCAGCAGCAACAGCAACAACAGCAACAACAACAGCAGCAGTTGAGACAACAGCAATTTCAACAACCAATGCAGCCAGTATCTTCCATTAAGCGTCCCTATGATGGTGGTGTATGTGCTCGTAGGCTGATGCAATATTTATATCATCAGCGGCAACGGCCTGCTGTGAGTTCCCTTGTTTATGCACTTCATTGTGCTGTTTCTTTTCTCTCTTCAGTTCCATTTCAACTGGGTTTGTAGATATGCTTTTCTTTTCGTTACAAATATCTTATTTAGACGTTTCTATCCTTTTGAGTATCTATCCGTCAGCGTTGTTTATCTAATGATGTGTGAATTTTGTTGACAGGACAATAGTATTGCTTATTGGAGGAAGTTTGTTACAGAGTATTACTCTCCTCGTGCTAAGAAAAGATGGTGCTTGTCATTATATGATAATGTTGGCCATCACGCACTTGGTGTTTTCCCTCAGGCTGCTATGGTTAGTATACGTGTTAATTAACTCTTCTGTCCAGTTATTTAAATTGTTTCTCATATAATCATAAGTGACTGTGTCCCTACAATTGATACTCCTATTTTTATAACTTCATAGTTCATTTGTGTTTATATTATCTGCCTGATTGAACATATGTCAACGGTTCGTACATGTGAATATTTGCTTTCTTTTTGGTCAGGACGCGTGGCAATGCGACATTTGTGGTTCTAAATCTGGAAGGGGTTTTGGTAAGAAAATCTGAAGCTTTATTGATTTGTGCTTTGTTAAGGGTTACAACTTACAACACTAGACCAACGGTCTTGAGGGGACAATTAGTTTTTGCTTTTTATTTGTCTTAAGGTGCTTCTTTCTCCAAGTTTTATGCTTTTTCCGCATAGTTGGACATTACCATCATTTTATTTTGAGGTTTCTACCCTCTAATGCCCCTTACAGTCTATCATTTTTTTTATCAATAGTCTGCTGATAAACTTTTTTGTGCCAAAGTAACTTAGAAATATATAGAAATCTCTGTGGCGTTACCTCCAATGTTTGATATATTTATATTTGGTAAACTGAATCTAACCAACTAGTTCCTTTTCATGGTTACAGAGGCAACATTTGAAGTGCTTCCTAGACTTAATGAAATCAAATTTGGCAGTGGAGTCATCGATGAGCTTTTATTCTTGGACTTGCCACGTGAAGGTAGATTTCCTTCTGGTGTGATGATGTTGGAGTATGGGAAAGCAGTTCAAGA